GGGAAGTTCCTGGAGAATGCCATGCATGGTACTTTTAAGGATAACCCGATCATATAGCTAAACATAATGATAAACTCAGTTTCGCAAGAAAAAGCTGGGGGTGGATGGTTCATGTAACGGAAGTTCCCGAAAAAATACTACATGTAATTTTCTTAGGAATAACCCGATCATTACAAACAAAGTGTTAAACACTACATCCCCACGGTGATTTACGAATATTCTTTTACTGAGATGAGATTCGATCACTTCGTTGGATCAATCTTTCCTCTCAAATTCCTCTTTGGTCAAACCTTTAAACAGTTAGGACCAAAGCCAAAATCCCCTCTTGATTCGTTCCATGAACGAGAGGTCCACAAATTGAACGATCAAACCTTTAAACAGTTAGGATCGTCTCAAATCCCCATGTTGGTCAAACCTTTAAACAGTTAGGACCAAAGCCAAAATCCTCTCTCGATTTCTTCCATGAACGAGAGGTCCACAAATTGAACGATCAAACCTTTAAACAGTTAGGATCGTCTCACTGTCCATTTGGTTAAACCTTTAAACAGTTAGGACCAAAGCCAAAATCCCCTCTCGATTCGTTCCATGAACGAGAGGTCCACAAATTGAACGATCAAACCTTTAAACAGTTAGGATCGTCTCGAATTCCCTTTTGGTTAAACCTTTAAACAGTTAGGACCAAAACCAAAATCCCCTTTCGATTCCTTCAATGAACTAAAGGTCTACAAATTGAAGGATCAAACCTTTAAACAGTTAGGATCGTCTCACTGTCCATTTGGTCAAACCTTTAAACAGTTAGGACCAAAACCAAAATCCCCTTTCGATTCCTTCCATGAACGAAAGGTCCACAAATCGAACGATCAAACCTTTAAATAGTTAGCATCGTCTCAGAACTCCCACTTGGTCAAACCTTACTACAGTTAGGACCAAAACCAAAATCCACTTTCGATTCAATTCATGAACGAGAGGTCTACTTTTGAATTGGATAATCAAACCCTATGACAGTCAGGATTATTCAAACCAGTGCAGATTCTTCAAGTGGAGATCCCACTTTGAGTGTCTTTTGCATCAGGAGATAGGATATAAAATTCTTCCTCTCCATATTCGGGTTTATCTCTACCAACAAACAAGAGACCAGGAGATAGGATATAAAATTCTTCCTCTTCAATTTTGGGTTTATCTCTACCAACAAACAAGAGACCAGGAGATATGATATAAAATTCTTCCTCTCTAATTTCGGGTTCATCTCTACCAACAAACAAGAGACCAGGAGATAGGATATAAAATTCTTCCTCTTCAATTTCGGGTTTATCTCTACCAACAAATAAGAGACCAGGAGATAGAATATAAAATTCTTCCTCTCCATCATCGGGTTCATCTCTACCAACAAAAAAGAGACCATAATACTCCAATAGGTACACGAGTCTAAACTGTTTCCCTACCATCAACAGGAAGTTTCTGGAGAATATCACTCAAAATATTCTTAAGAATAACCTGGCTACCTCCCAACGGGTATACGAGGTTAAACTATTTCCCAAGAACTCCAAAAAAATACATGAGTATAAACTGTGTTCCTATGAAGACTGATACAGTGATTAACAATGCGGTATCAATTTGATGACAAAAGCTGAATTCACAAGTACCAATTTCAGCTTCAATTCAGGATCTCGATGACGGTCAAGCAATGAACGCCATGCCGAAAGGATCTTAGCTATTCTACAAAGCACTGAATAGACTGAGAGACAAAGAGATCAAGTGTTGAAGCCATCTACAGGTTCTTCTATACGATCTACCCAACCAAGCATGGAAAGGATCATAAGTAATACCTATCTTATCCAAAGCATCCCAGAACTCCTTTATAAAAGATTGAGTCTGAAATACTTTGGAGGGAGTATCTGTAGACGTCAAAAAATACTGAGAGATATCCAAACACAGCTCAAAAGGAAGTCATCCAAAATATCAAAAAGAACACAAGTATAGACTGTCTCGCACGAGAGACAGTCTTTACTGTCTCGCACGCGAGACAGACTTTACTGTCTCGCGGGCGAGACAGACTTTTACTGTCTCGCCCACGCGAGACAGTCTTTACTGTCTCGCCGTGCGAGACAGAATTTACTGTCTCGCACGTGAGACAGCTTTCAGATGGTTAAAATCGTCTTTGTAACTGCCCTACACATGGCCACTAACTGTTCAAGAACGTGGGAAACGTCGTGGGCGAGAATCACGTGGATAACTACCAAAATAACGGAGTTTGAAACGTGGGAAGGCAGTTAAAACAAAAACTGCCTGACGGTTACTGTTTCCGAGACATCGTTTACTGTCTCGCGGGCCCAGACAGCAAACACTGTCTCGCCCGCCGAGACAGCAAATGCTGTCTCGCGAGCTTGTTTTCCGCCAACTGTTCCTAGGGGCTATAAATACCCCCTGAAGGCCATTTTTGAGAGAGGCTGATCATTTTGAGCACTTCAGAGCAATCCAGAGCAGGGAGAGAGCAGAGTTCTTGAGCTTCTGGCGATTCCTTGAGATTCGAGCTTTGACTTGATCTTAAGAAGAACGGCTATCTTACTTCGATAAGATATCGTTTCAAATTCTCACTTCGATAAACGAAGTCCGAATCATCAAACCCCTCACGATTCAATCAGAATCTGTGATTTGGTGGTCCACGGGCTAACGCACCCCCGGCACAGGCAAAGATCCCACGCAAGCAGTGATCCAAACAACGATCCTGCGTTTGTTTCCCAAGAGTTGTAATTTTTATTTTGTTGTGTAAAAGAAGTCTTATAAAAAGGCTATCTCTTTTTTGAATTTATTGTAATCGACTGAAGATATAATAAATTCCATGACAAAACCAACTTTTGACGCAAACAACCCTCTTTTAATAATTATTACTCGTCATCTAAGCATAGAGAGAGAATAAAAAATATAAAATCCCAAAATGCCCTTATCTACTCTATTCTTTCATGTTAGGTTTATTTAGAGTTTATGTTAGGTCTAATTTCATGTTAGGTCTATTTAGAGTTCATGTTAGGTCTAATTTCAATTCATGTTAGGTCTAATAATAGTTCATGTTAAGTCTAATAATAGTTCATGTTAGGTCTAATTTCATATTAAGTCTAATAATAGTTCATGTTAGGTCTAATTTCAAATCCAACTTAACATGAAGTAAATTAGACTTAAAAGGAATTTAACACAAAGTAAATTAGACTTAAAAGGAATTTAACACGAAGTAAATTAGACCTAACATGAACTGTTATTAGACTTAACATGAATTGAATTTAGACTTAACACGAATCAAATTAGACTTAACATGAAATTAGACTTAACATGAATTGAATTTAGACTTAACACGAATCAAATTAGGCTTATCATGAAATTAGACCTAACATGAACTGTTATTAGACTTAACATGCACTGGAATTAGACGTAACATGAAATTAGACCTAACATGAACTATTATTATACATAACATGAACTATTATTAGGTTTAACATGAACTATTAATATTAGACCTAACATGAACTATTATTAGACATAACATAAACTGAAATTAGACCTATCATGAACTGAAATTAGACCTAACATGAACTATTAATAGATATAACTTGAACTGAAATTAGACCTAACATGAACTGAAATTAGACTTAACATAAACTCTAAATAGATCTAACATGAAATTAGACCTAACATGAAAGAATAGAGGAGATAATAACATTTTGGGGTTTTGTATTTTTTATGCTTAGTTGGTGAGTAATAATTGCTAAAAGAGGGCCGCAACACATGATGTGATACTTCTTAGGGCTGAACCACATTGGAAAAAAGTGAAATGACTGCAGCACATGAAGATATTGTTTTTGGGGCATTGACACAACTTTCCCTTTTCTTTTTATGAAAAACCATCATATTTATAGCTTATTTACAAATAAACTACAATTGCAAGAAAATATAATCATAAGGGATTTGAAGGTCATGCGACGACAAGCTCATGAGGAAAATGGGCTACCTAGAGACACGAGTTAATTTGTGTTAGAATATAAAAATTTAACTCTCAACTCCTACCACAACTTTGGAGTTTCAATGTAATAGCTACCCAGAGACATGATTATAACTAACATTATATATTTACACAAAAGTTATAACCTGCAATTACAATTATATTTTGCTCTTATATTTTTCTGAAAGCCAAAAAAAACCTGAAACTGACAAAAGAGGGAGGGGGAAAAAAACACACTGATTTAACCCCTGCCATTTTGCCATGTAACCCCACTTTCTCTTCAATCCCAAACCCTGAACCTGTCAAATTTGCAGATATCTCCGCACTTGATTGCCTACTTTCCATGGGCCCACTGTAGTACAATGCTTCAAATCAATGACCATTGTTTGCCTTAAAAGCTTAAGAGCCCGGTCGGCCCACACCTGGACCAGGTCTACGAAACAAAATGGGCCGGGCCCACGTATTGTTCAAAGTTCACTCAAAAGGACTAGATAGCTCCGAAATAAAAGCAAGTACGAAACGAGGGGAGGAGAGACTAATAAAGTTCAAACAAACCACACATTTGTCCGCGACAAGGAATAAAGAGCATGTATGCACAGGGAAACAAAAGTAGGATCGTGGATCTCTCTCTCAATTAATTAATATTTACATCCTTAATTACGTATAATTCAAATACATTTTCGTCCTTAAAGGCCAAGATATAATTAACCTTCAAACAAATTTGAAGTTGGAAAAAAAAACCCCGTATCCTCTGAGGACTGCTATATGACTATGAGCTGTTTATTAGTTGTTGTGATTTTAAAAGGGAAATAATGCGAGAACTAAAAGAAACACAATAAAAAACTCAAACAAATCATTAGGACCTCAATATTTTGTGCAAAGATTGCATTATTTACGAGTACACACACACACACAGAGAGAGAGAGAGAGAGAGAGAGAGAGACCACTTAACCTGGCCTAATCCTAAACTGACGATAAGCTCATCCATCCCTACGTCCTCCTAATTGGCTCAACCTCCAACCTCTACAAAAATAAATATAAACCAAAAAAACCAAGAAAAAC